TACAATAAACCCTAGCCAATAAGATAAGACCCAAGAAAGGGGAAAGAAGGCATGTGCATTGGGAAGAAAGAGAGATCTTTGTGTGTAGATAGCTATCTATGTAGAAAATAGCAAAAACAGACATTCTTGGAACTAGTATGATTATAGGAAAATAAGATAAAAGGTTAATAAACAAAATTCAATTGCTTTCTTATATACCAACAATGAACAATTGAAATAAAAAATATAATACTGTGTCTGTTTTTAAATATTTGTTTAATATTTGTGTGTGTGTATGTGTGCATGTCTGTCTGTCTGTCTGTCTCTCTCTCTCTCTCTCTCTCTCTGTGTGTGTGTGTGTGTGTGTGTGTGTGTGTGTGTGTAGGCCAGAAGAGGCATTGGATCTCATGGACCTGGAATTACAGACCGTTGTGAGCTACCCAATGTGGGTTCTGGGAACTAAACTTGGGTCCTCTGCCAAAGCAGTATAAACTCTTAAACACTGAGCCATTTGCCCAGCTCCATAATACTATATTTTTGAACTAAGTAATTAATGCAAAAACTTTAAAAATAAAATACTATTTATAATAACACAATAAGTGAGATATGGACTGGGCATAGGTCGTGGCAGAGCACTTGCCTTGCTATCCCGAGCATCACCAGCCTGTTCCAAATAAAAACGGCTTAATTTTTAAAAAGATGAAGGGATTGGTGTAGATGTAACCAACGGTCTTATTAAATAAGAAACACAGAGCCGATTCAGAGAAGAAAGTCAAGAGGTCAGAGCTAAGAGCCTCACCCTTCCTGATTCAGGGATCCTCTTCAGCCAAGAGAGCTCTCCGAAAAAGGACCTACTTCCTGTGTGTGTATGTCTTTATAGTCTTTCTGTTCTACCTTCTCATTGGTTGTAAACCCAAACATGTGACTGCCTCGTCACTGCCTGTATGTACCGCCCTCCAGGTCCTTAAAGGCATGCGCCACCGCCGCCACGCACTTGCTATGGCTCCAATAGCTCTGACCCCCAGACAACTTTATTTATTAACATACAATTAAAATCACATTTCAGTACAAGTAAAATACCACCACAGATTGGAGTGATGGTGCAGTGGTTAAGAGTGCTTGCTGCTCTTGAAGAAGACCTGAGTTCAGTTCTCACCACCTATCATAACACCAGCTCCAGGGGATCTGACATTCTCTTCTCACCTCTGAAGATCTATGGACACTCGGCATACACTCATATTGACACCACCAGGTCCAAGACTGCCAACAAAACTACATAGTCAAGATGGTGTGGTCAACCATCAGATGGGAACAGAGAGCCCAGAAACTGACCCACACAGGACCTTGGCTCTCTGGCCAAGGCAGTATGTAGAGGGCAGGTCACCCCTGGACAACCATCTGTGAAAGGGCAGGATCTAGACCTTCCAAAAACTAATCAAAACTGATCGCAGATCTAAATATAAAGTTCAGGAAAATAAAGCAGGAGAAAAGTTGACTAGCCCTGTGTTTAGTAATGAATATTTATTAAGTTTTCTTAAGACAGGGTCTCATGTAGCCTCATATGACTCTGAGTTCACAATCCTTCTGCCTCTTCATCCCAAATGCTGGGATTACACGCAGAAGTCACCACAACCAGCTGGATTTTTAAACAGAAGGATGTTCCACGAAAGAAAAACCAATAAATTGGGCCTTATTAAAATTAACAGTGCTGTTAAAAGACAGCATGATATTGTAACACCTGTAATATCAGCATCAAAAGCCTGAGGCAGGAGGATGGCAAGCAGGAGGCCAGCACTAGCTATATCGTAAGACCCTGTCTCAGAAAACCAAAATAAAGATTAATTAAGAAGAAACCTGGAAGGCAGTATTTGCAAAAGACACATATGATAGGCTGATTCAAAATATACAAAACTCTTAAAAATAAATAAGAAAGCACGCACACAAAAAAGGGCAGAAGTCTAATCAGGAACCTCAAGTAAGAAAACCCACATGGACAAAAATTTGTGTGAAGTGGTGCTGTGTGCTACACCTTACAGGACTCAAGGCCTTGATTATTAGCTCAACTCACTGGGTTTGAACACTGGAGAGACACATCTGTGGTCATGTCTGTGAGTGTTTCTAGAGAGGTTTAACGGAGCAAAGAAATGTGGAGGGCACTTCTCAGGGTCTAGAGTGCTGGGCTGAATAAAAGAGGGGAAAAAAGAAGCAGTCTGAGTATCAGCAGATAAGCTTTCTCCTTCTTGACTGCCGTACAGTGTAACCAGCTGCCTTACATTCCGGCCACTGAATCTACAGCAGTCACTCTCACTGCTGTGCCTCGCTCACGGTGACGGGCCAGACCCTCAAACCATGAACAAAATAAACCCTCCTCCATTAAATTGCTTTTGGTCGCAGGGCGGTGGTGGCACACGCCTTTAATCCCAGCACTCGGGAGGCAGAGGCAGGCGGATCTCTGTGAGCTCGAGGCCAGCCTGGTCTCCAGAGCGAGTTCCAGGAAAGGTGCAAAGCTACACAGAGAAACCTTGTCTCGAAAACAAACAAACAAACAAACAATTGCTTTTGGTCAGGAATTTGGTCACAGCAATGGGAAAAAGTAACTGATACAGCAATGGAATAAAACAGGAACGTCCTAAAACAACCTCAAATCCCGATGAAGAGCACCTGGAGTGTTCATCAGTGCTGGGGGAAGGTGAAAGAGGGCAGCTGCTGTGGGAGACGGATGCAGTGTCTCGTACAACTAACGTATTCATAACGTAAGCGTCCATGATTGCATTCTTCGGTTTTTTTACCCAAAGGAGCTGAAAGCTTGTATTCACACAAAAACCTGCACAGATATGTTGGTAGAAGCTTTAGTCATAATTGCGACTGAGATGTTCTTCATTAACGGAACAATATGACATCTAATTCAGAGATACAAAGAAATGAGCTTCCAGGCCAGGAAAAGACTTGAAGGAGCCTTGAATGAGTATTAGCAAAGGAAAGGGACTGGCCTGAAAGAGTGACTTGACTCCAGCTGTATGACCTTCTGGGAAAGGAAATAAGGAGTTGGTTTAAAAAATAAAAAATAAAAAGGGTTGGCCAGAGCTGGGGTGGGGATGGTGAACAGATGGAGCCCAGAGCACTGTGGGGCCGTATAGCTGTTATCCTTGATGGGGTACCATGCGTCTATCCAGAGCCACAGACTGTTAAGTACTAAGGAGGAGTCCCAGTATGCGCTGTCAATTCTGACTAATTTGTCAACACTTGTAAATTGTGACAATGTACCTCACAATGCAAGATCTTTCCAACAGAGGAAACTAACAGGTGTGTGTGTGTGTGTGTGTGTGTGTGTGTGTGTGTGTGTGTGTGTGTGTGTATGGGTGTGTGGGGTCATAATAAGACATTGTCTCAAACAAACAAATTACAAAACTGCTCTAAAAAGTGTCCATTAACAGTTGTAGCTCCTAAGGCTAGAGAGACGCTCAGCTCAGTGGTTAAGAGTACCGGCTGCTTTTCCAGAGGACCCAGGTTCTATTCCCGGCACCCATACAGTGTTTTACAGCCATCTGCAACTGCAGTTCCCAGGGACCTAACACCCTTCTCAGGCCTCCTCAGGCACACATGCATGTGATGTACTGACATAAACGCACCCAAACACCTACACATAAAATAATTTTAAAAAGTCGTAACTCCCAACCCCTTAGTTTCCCACCTGAGCCCTTTTGGATTCTTCCAGCAGTGATGAGCACTCCAAGTGTTCTCTGTCCTGTGAGTAGTATGTGCCGGGATTTGGTTTGTGGGGTTGTTTGGTTGCTGCTCTGCAGACGTCTTAGGGCCTGCGTGCATTTTACAAGGTCCCTGTTTTGTGAAACTCCCTTGTGGTCAGGCTCTTAGCTCAACTGGAGATCCTTCCACCTGAGACTGCCCTCAGTAATGTGTGCTTCTGAGGTATCTCCCCTCAAGCAAAAGGAGCCCCTAGCTCCCTGTATTTCCCGTGTTTCATCTCTCCTCAAGGGCTGGACACCTCAGTTCCTGTGTATCCATTTTGGTCTCTTTCCCAGCCTTCCTCATTGGAACCAGCTACTTCAGAAATGGCAGTCCCTTCAGGGCCACAGCAGAAAGGCTGGTCACAGTGACCAGATAACAGGCCAGGGAAGGGACAGTTAAACTGTGTGTGTATTCAGGAACAACAGGCAACTCAGAGTGGACTTCCTCCTGGGTCTGGACAAGGCCCTGACACTCATCTCTCACTTTTGTGTATGTCTCTCTCTGGATCTAGTTAGAAGACTTGGGGTGGGCCAAGGAGGTCTTGGAGGGGTCCCCTACTAACTGGGCAGCTATGATTGCTTCAAAATAAATCCACCTGACTGTCTCAGTGTCTCCTAAAGACCCTTTGCCCTGACTAAGGACCACTGAAGGCTGGTTCTGGGTGCAGGTGGCACGTGACCATACTGCCCAGGTGACCTGGTAGATTCAACTCCACTTCAACTGCCCCCAGATCTGCTTGGTAGAACTCCAGCTCCCTGGGACCAGCCCCAGCAGTGGCATAGCGTTCCTTTCACCCCTTCTTCCTCTTTTTGAGCAAGACACAGAGGCATGCTCAGGTTGAGCATGTGCTGTCTTCCACAAAGCACTTGACCAGAGCTTGTGGCAGCAACTCTGAATGGACAGGCAATGAGACCACCACAGGGATGGAGAGATGGCTCAGAGGTTAAGAGCACTGGCTGCTCTCCCAGAGGTCCTGAGTTCAATTCCCAGCAACCACATGGTGGCTCACAACCATCTGAAATGAGATTTGGCTCCCTCTTCTGGCATGCAGGCAGAACACTGTATACGTAATAAATAAATCTTAAAAAAAAAATGAGACCACCACAGTTCATTTGCACCAAAAATCCACAGTTCTGAGGAAGGGACACCAAGGAATGAGCTCTTTCCATTTTTTAAAACAGAAGAATTCTTGGGACCAAGGCTGGTGTATGTTGGAGATGAGGCTTTGCTCACTCACATGGTGGGCTTTCTGTTTGTCCATCTGATAGAATGGATTTAGGCTGTGAGTACATTAAACACATGACAGGGGAGGAGGGAAGCCTGGGGTCCTTCTGAGAAGGCAGGGGCCAATGTGCATCTGGGGAAGGGAAGGTATATAAAGCTGGAGCTGCTCAAATCCTCTTATTGGGTCATAGATCAAATGCTGGGGTCGTCAGTACCCTTAAAACATTTGCTTCCTTGCCTTCAGAGCAGACTCCTGTGTCCTCCCAAAACTCTTCCTGCTCTCCAGCACCCCTCAGTTGACGTAACCCTTCGTCCTCGTAGGAACCTTAGGATGGGTGTACAGAGGCAGCCAAGGAGGGGAACGTGCATGATCACTGTAATGCTGAGACTGGAGACTCAGATACTGCTCAGTAGCTTCACAAGGAGCGGCGCTGGCATTTAGACCCGTCTGCTGACTGGGCCTTGTCTCTGAGGAAGGAGGCCCACAGTTCCAGGGAGCACCCTGTTTATTTCCAGCATTCACTCCTCACTAAACCCTAATACTTGAGCCTACTTGTTCCCCAAGGAATCCAGTTTCCTGAGCGACTAGGAGGACAGACACATGTACCACTGTGTCTGTGGTTCAACAGTCCCAGTGCTGATGGGCCACACTCAAAGCTGGGCAAGCGCAGCCTGGCTTAGAAGTATCTTACAGGGTCTGTCCCATACTCAAAAAAGGCAGCAGGGAGCTGGCCTTGTCCTTGTCTTCCCACTATTTGTGAAGAGTGGCCCTTCTTGGCTGACAAACAGCAAGGTAATGAGGAAAGCTGGGGTGCTTCTGGGCGGAGCAGGCCTGCAGGTGCCCTGACAGCAGGCTTCCTGAGTAAACTGCAGCTAGCATAGGGCCCATTGCCCAGGGAGAGCAGAGCTGGGTCCCAAGGGCACCTCCCCAGGTTCTTTCTTAAGTAGTCTGTCCTCTATGGTGATATTTTATTTGAACTGAAATGTGATTTTATTTGTATGTTAATAAATAAAGTTGCCTGGGGGTCAGAGCTAATAGCAAGCTATAGCAGAGCTGGGCGTTCATGTCGCACGCCTTTAATTCCAGCACTTGGTAGGCAGAACTAGGTAGATCTCTGTGTGTTCAAGGATACAGCCAGCATTGGAGACACATGCCTTTAATCTCAATACCAACCATAGAAGATCTGGAGGTCTGTACAAAGAGGCAGTGACGAGGCGGTCATGTGATTGGGTTTACAACCAATGAGAAGGCAGAACAGAAAGACTATATAAAGATAAACAGACAGGAAGTAGGTCTCTCTTGGCTGAAGTGGCTAGCTGCAGCAGACGGGTAAGGCTCTTAGCTCTGATCTCTTGGCTTTCTTCTTTGCATTGGTTCTGTTTCTTATTTTAATAAGACGGTTGGTTACATCTACAATCCTCCTTGCTTTCAACTCTGACAGGACCCTTTTTAAGGCAGGAGGAACGAACCCGAGCATCGCTTACTGGTAGCTCCCTCAACAGGAACCTGCCTTTCAAGCTCCTTAGAACCCAAGGCTCCAAGGTAAGCCTCCAGGTAGCTTTATTTCCTCCACCTCCTGCGCTCAGATTTTGTTTTGTTTTGATTTTTGAGACTTGCTATGTAGCCCTGTGCTTGAGTTTTGGCTATCTACAAGGCAATCCTGCTGACAATTTTGGCCAGCATCAGAGGGGCCCACCAGGATGCCCATTTGTTTTGTGAATTAGTTACAAAGGTCAAGGAAGAATGCCATCAGAACTCAGTGGGAGGATGTGGGAAGGGTTGAAATGTGTTCCAATGTCAATCACAGCCACTCATCCTCTGCTGGGTAATGCTGCAATGGTCAGGTCCTAGACCAGAGTGCAAATTGGGCAGGCCTATTTTAGTTACTCAGAACACATTGCTGCAGCCTTGTTCCACAACAGGAACAGGACAGTGAGTCTCTTGAGGTGTCACAAGGCCCAGGAGGCAGGCGGAACTTGATTTGTGGGTAAAAGGAAGAGCCTCCAGCCTCCTGATCAGGGCCAGTTGCTCTGCCACATCCTCCTAGGGCCTGGCCCTCTAGCCTGTGCCTGAGGATACCCTGAAGCTGAGCAGCCCAACCACAGCTGGTCCTCATTTCTTGCTCCTTCTGGGCTCCCCCAGATCCTGAGGTGATGCTTACAGTAGGAATTGAGCCTAGTAATGTTCAGCACTGCTGGCCCTCAGTATCCCCATAGTGGTACCTTCATGGACCTGGGCCCTAGCAGGGATTCTCTGGAACATGCTTCAAGTTACAAGACAGCAGTAGCCAATAGGTAAGACTCAAGCCATGGATCTGCGGCAGTGACAACACGCTGTGCTATCACCAGATCAGTATGCTCCTGAAATTGCTATACTATGGGACAGGATTCTGCTGGAATCAGCAAGCAATTTTCCCCTTAGAAAAGTCTGTGACCAGGCAGGTAGGGCAGCTGGTCAAGTTGAGGGGAGTCCTTTCCACAGTGTGGGTAGCGATGGAATCCAGAGGCAGCTGTGGGGAGTTAATACATACAGCATTTGGGGAAGAGGCAGCCAATGGAGGAGCTGGCCTGCCTTCTCCTGGGAACCTCACTGGCACGTATCTAGGAATCCAGCAAGAGTAACGTCTCAGCATGGAATGGGACAGAGCAGCAGATAATGGGGCTGTTCCAGCCCTGAGGTCACCCTGAAGGCAGAGGCTATGTATGAGATGAGATTACACCCTGCCCTCCCTGTGTCCCACCTTGCCCTGGCTCGAGATCTCACCTTGCTGACACCTTAGGAAACATCTTCAACAACTGTGGACTGGGATGGGCATTTTTGAGGCTGCATTCAGATCCTTCTGGTTTGTTTTTATCTTCCCGTTATCAAAGTTCCCAGTGTACTTGTTAGGCATAGCTCAAGAAGCAGCATTGGCTGTGCCCTGGAACCAGAAAGACCAGACCTTGGATCCAGTCTCTGGCCTCTTTTTAAGGTATACTGAGATAACATGAAGGTGGCAGCGTGTGTGTGTGTGTGTGTGTCTGTGTGTGTGTTCAACCTCTCAACCTCTGAATACAGCCTTATTTGGGAAAAGTTTTTCTGCAAAATATAAAATCAGATTTAGATGCAATTGTCCTGGTTCAGGGTGGGTCCAAAATCCCATGACAAATGTTGCTAGAGGGCAGATATATAGATGGAATGAAGACCAAAGGGATGTGGCCATGTGTGAAGGACACTTGAGTCCATCATGGCTGGAAGAAGAGGAGGGAACCTCCTGATCCCCTAGAGGAAACATGGCCCTGAAACACACCTCTGGTCTCTGTGGTCATAAGAGAATATATTTGCATAATTGTGAGTCAGTGGTGTCAGGCCCTGGGTTACTACGGTGGCCACAGATCTCAGGCACGCTCTCAAACTTGTTTGAGGTTAGTGCAATTAAAAGCACGAACATCCAGCCCTGATGGTTTTCTTTAGAAGCTCTGTGAGCACCGCCTGGCTGATCTGCCACAAACACAGGTATTTTTAATACATTAGACGGCTCCTTTTAAACAAGCTGTCAGGAAAATTAATTGTAGGAAGTTTAACAGGCGCTAACATGCCTAAGAGCTCTGCAATTACCGGCTTCCAGTCTGCAGGCACATTTGACAGCCTGGGGGCCCTAGGGGTGTCTGGCTGCTCTAGAAATGTTTTCTTCTGCCAGGGTGCCTGACCTGACCCCAGATTACTGCTCCAGCATCTGAGTGGATTCTGGAGTCTCTAAGGTGCAGAGCGCCTGATGAACCTCCTCTACTTGGGTCGGAACTGCAGGGCTCCAAGTCAGGATCTGTTACACGGCACACCACCGACTTCATCTTCTGGAATTCAGCTCAGCCCTCATGAGGGAAAGTCCTTTGGGAGTACAGTCCATCTCAGCAAAATGGATGCTGAGGCTAGGCAAAACCTGGGGTCTCAAACTTGCATGAGGTCTATAGGGACAGAGGGGACTTTCTGGTCCTTCTGTTCCTGTCCCCAAAAGCACAGCTGGTACAGGAGCTATGGCGGGGCGCCTGTGTCAGGCTCTCCCCTGTTTCTCCCTGTTCTCCTAAGCAACACTGGTGTCTCACTCGTGACCTGCTGTCATAGGAAGACCCCTCTGGGAACCATGCAGGAGTTGACAGGCCTTCAAAGCTGGCCTCATATTCATACAAATGCCTTTCCTGAGTGTGGTTCTGGACTCAGAGTCATCAGTAGAACAGGAAATACAGAGGCAGTGTCAGGGGCTCTTGGCTTGAATGCAGTCAAGACAGGGGAGCTTCAGGTGGCTGAGTCTGAAGGTCCGGCCTACCTTGTTTTTTTATGTCTTCAAAGGTTCTTGGCAGAGGCCGGCAGCGGCAGGCCTGCCATGAGCTGGGCGCAGGGTCCTGGAGGTGGGTCCTAGAGGGCTATGAGCTGGGTGGGGTGACTCCTCCTTGTCCCTAGGCAATAAACCTGACTCTGGACAGTTGCTTCCTACTGTGCATATCCTGCCTACAGCAGACAGGTTTATAAACAAGCTAGTCCCACCTGGATCCAGACCAGCTCTAAGGCCTGGATGTCTGGCGCTCAGCTTCCCGAATGACACGACCCAGATGTGCTTTGCACCACTCTCCTTGACCCTCAGGAGCTGGGGATTGTGTGGTTTTACTGAACTCTTGGAAATTATGTGCTGGACCAACGGCTGGCTGTGAGTGTTTACATCTTAACAGTTCCCAGGGAGAGATTATTTCCAAACAGCTCCTGGGCTCTCTGAACCTCTCAGAGGGGCTGAAAGTGTGGCATCTTTAAAGAGAAGCACCATTTTGAGTTACAAGAAAACAAAGCTCTCCCAAGAATGCTCTTAACCTTTAAATACACCAAAGGAGAGTTACTGGAATTTACAATAAATTCACCTTTTCACAGACAACTGGCTAAACGTGTTGAAACCCAAACAATTCTGCTCTTTTCATAAGCCTTAGTGTAAGACTTGCTGAACGTTTGTCGAGTAACTGCCTTCCTTTGTTATATCCTCTTTACAACATTGTTGTAATAATTCCTTCAAGCCAAAGTTTTGCATCTTAGCTGCCTGGGATATTTGTGGATGTAGGCAATGTTTAAAGTCAGGAGAAAGCTTTCACTTGCAATACTAGACAAACTCCGCTGCTATAAACAGCCGTAAACCATCACCCGGTGCCTAAGGCCCTGTGTTCTGACAGGCTGCGGACTGCTCCCAGCACCAGAGCTCTTTACCAGTCCTCTCTGGAGATGTTTTTGTGATGGAGTCTTTGGGAGCTGGAGTCTTTGTTAGGACAGCTCCTTAAGCTGGTGAGGCCAAGTTCAGGGACTGGGCTGTGAATCCACACAAGGCTTCTCTGTGGGTTCTGTACTGGTAGGGCTAGGTGCAGATAGAACATGGAAGGCCTGGAGCGCAAAGCCAGAGGAGAGGGGCTGTTCCCATACTGATCTTCCAACAGAGGATCACCTACACCTTACCCTAACAGGTTGAAGCAAACCCCAGTCAGTGTGTGTGTGTGTGTGTGTGTGTGTGTGTGTGTGTGTGTGTGTGTCTTCTTCCACTCAGCATTGCATCAAATACAGCCTGAGCGATCTGAGGATGCTCTACCAGCCATGGAGCCTCTGGCTTGAGCAGAAATCAGATCCTTTAAAGGAATGTAACAGAATCCAGAACCTTGTAATGTGTCATCTGCAGTGTTTATTACCAATTAAAAGACTATCAGATATGTAAAGAAATAGGAAGAGGTGGTCCACTGATAAGAAGTCACACGACACAGACCACAGGTAGACCAGTGACAAGTGGGAGGCATCTGTATGACTCACCACAGTTCAGTGTTTACCAGATTCTGTAGGTTGAGGATGTGCAGGGATGGCCTACTAGGGT